GACAAACGAAACCTTTCTGATGGTAAATTATCACTGCTGCTCATGGATATCTACAATTCATACAAAACATATTGTTCTAAAAAACAAGTCCATAATAATAGAAAGATTATAATAATATACATATGTAATCTATAATGATATAAACTTCATAATAAGAGACAATATAGAGGCTAATTTAAAATTACCAGCCACCGGAAACCCATTCACTCAAAGTCGTCAGCTGCAATGGAGACTAAGCATTTTAATAATCCATACCTAAATTAATGTTGAGATACAAAGAAACCAATATGTCATCAAAATATGTGAAGCCCCACTTTTAAATGTTAAAAGATAATTTAAGGTTAACTAGATTGTTGATTGTTCATATTATGATTTACTAAATATAACATTTAGGTAAATGATGCAACTCTCGCCCATGCCAATAACAATGACATATAGCTAGCTAGTAAGGTCAACCGAGCATATCCGTACGACGCACTTAGTTCCATTAATATTATAATGTTGGCTTGACGACTATGTACAATGACGACGACAAATACATTATAATGATACTGATCTCAGGCGAAATCAGAACCTGCGACTCTTACATGATGAGACCCAACATAGTGTTTTTGGAAATAAAAAATAAACAAAGAAGTTTCATTCTTTTATTTTTGTTTTGAATAACAATTTCCTTTACAATTTGAGCATCGTTGCACACGATGTAGCTACTGAGAAAAGCAGTGGACGCATCCTTCTCTACAGCCTTTTCAGTCGTAGCTACCGCTACTTCGGTATCTTGAAACCGGATTCCTTCAAACATTTCTTTCTATTTAATGGCAATCATAAGGTGTGAGGTCGAAGTGAATCAAAAATTCCAAATCAAAATTCAAATAATTAAAAAGATCGTTTGTTCATCTGGTTCACTGCTGGCACATTGAACCAGTGGGGTCAAACTTCTGAAACAGCTTGCAAACAAAATTACTGTACCACTCAAAAGCGACCATTCAGTCCGAAAATGAGGCAATCATCGTAGTACCTTCGCTCAGTTCTTAACTTTTGTTGACTGTTCTACAAAAGGAAGTACCCTCTGCAGAGAATCACTTTTGGTTTCGGGACCATAGCAATAAATCCTGAGTCCGCAACCTGTGACGTTATCTAATACAGCATTTGAGGCATCTCCATAGAATCTTAGCTGCATCTGACGAAAATCGCTACGAACACATTTTTTGTACAACCCTGCTTCATATCATCAAATCAGTAGTAAATAATCGCACAAAACGAGGCATGATCTTCCAACGCCAATTACACGCTTAAAACACTGTTGTGGACTAAAGACCATAGTGAAAAATTTCATGCATTCAATTCACAATGCCAGTGATGCTACTTTTAAATTGATTGACTTCACGTGAGACACTGATGAACAGTACACAACTGACGTATTTACTTAATTGAACTATAAAATTAGTTTGTTTTCGAATACTGTACTAGTTTTTCGGAATTGGTTCAGAATTGGCCAGTTCTAAAAATGCGTATAGTATGCGTGTGTTTGCTTTTAGAAAATACTTAGATAAAACTTTCCCAGGTTGCCGATCCAAATGAGATAAAAGCTTATTTATTCAAGAAATACATAGTTATACACTGCGCACTAAATGTAGATATAGTTCAGTTCATTTTGATTACTCTGGTTCTGTGTTCAAATATTGATGGCAAGAATTTCATGAAAGATAGCACTTTTATTCCAACTAGGATCCTCTTATAACGCACGCTTACGATAAATGCTAGATGTGTAATATTCAACGCCGAACCAGTCGTCTGTAAATGCGTTAATTAAGTAATATTAAAATAAAAGAAATAAACGCGTGATCACACTGTTAAATAAGTTTTAACTAAGACTTCCAAACACAATACGCTTCTACAAATGTATTCTACACTTCACGCGTGAAGCTTGAGTGAATAAATTAGTAAGCAAGCGAACCGACAGATGTGAATAAGTAGGTGTTTTCTTACCACCGTCTCCTAGTTCAAAACAGTAAATGATGCAGCGGTATGTTATGAAAATATTTTCAGACAGGATGGACGGAATTAGTTATATAGATCAAACACATACCACGGTTCACCGGCTCCGACGGCATCCGCAACCGCGCGCTTAAATTGTTACCAGCCCAACTGATAACGATGTTGGCCACCATATTAAATGCTGCTATGACGAACTGCATCTTTCCCGCGGCGTGGAAAGAAGCGGACGTTATCGGCATACACAAGCCGGGCAAACCGAAGAACGAAACCGCGAGTTACCGCCCCATCAGTCTCCTCCCGGNAAAAGCTGTTTTGGAGTGTTTATAGGGTGATTTGGCCCGATAAGTGTTGTAGTTTTATAGTGTAAGTTAATGTATAAAATGATATGTGCGTATTGTGTTGCTTTTGTTTTTTTGTAATTTAAATTTCTAAATTTCTCTTCTTGTTCACTGTCTACTTATATGTGATTTTGATTGTGGAAACATATTTGGTTATTGTTTTAGCTATATCTTTTTTAAATATTTATGTTTTGTATTGTACTGTTTGTTTCCCAAATAAATAAATAAATAAATAAATAAATAACAATAGAAAGATTATAATAATATACATATGTAGTCTATAATGATATAAACTTCATAATAAGAGACAACATAGAGGCTAATTTAAAATTACCAGCCACTGGAAACCCATTCACTCAAAGTCGTCAGCTGCAATGGAGACTACGCATTTTAATAATCCATATCTAAATTAATGTTGAGGTACAAAGAAACTAATATGTATGTATGTATGTGAAGCCCCTCTTTTAAATGTTAAAACAAAATTTACGGTTAAGTAGATTGTTGATTGTTCGAATTATGATTTAGTAAATATAACATTTAGGTAAATGATGCAACTCTCGCCCATGCCAATAACAATGACATATAGCTAGCCAGTAAGGTCAACCGAGCATATCCGTACGACGCACTTAGTTTCATTCATATTATAATGTTGGCTTGACGACTATGTACAATGACGACGACAAATACATTATAATGATACTGATCTCAGGCGAAATCAGAACCCGCGACTCTTACATGGTGAGACCCAACATAGTGTTTTTGGAAATAAAAAATAAACAAAGAAGTTTCATTCTTTTATTTTTGTTTTGAATAACAATTTCCTTTACAATTTGAGCATCGTTGCACACGATGTAGCTACTGAGAAAAGTAGTGGACGCATCCTTCTCCTCTACAGCCTTTTCAGTCGTAGCTACCGCTGCTTCGGCATCTTGAAACCGGATTCCTTCAAACATTTCTTTCTATTTAATGGCAATCATAAGGTGTGAGGTCGAAGTGAATCAAAAATTCCAAATCAAAATTCAAATAATTAAAAATATCGTTTGTTCATCTGGTTCGCTGTGCTGGCGCATTGAGCCAGTGGGGTCAAACTTCTGAAACAGCTTGCAAACAAAATTACTGTACCACTCACAAGTGACCATTCAGTCCGAAAATGAGGCAATCATCGTAGTACCTTCGCTCAGTTCTTAACTTTTGTTGACTGTTCTACAAAAGGAAGTACCCTCTGCAGAGAATCACTTTTGGTTTCGGGACCATAGCAATAAATCCTGAGTCCGCAACCTGTGACGTTATCTAATACAGCATTTGAGGCATCTCCATAGAATCTTAGCTGCATCTGACGAAAATCGCTACGAAGGCATTTTTTGTACAACCCTGCTTCATATAATCAAATCAGTAGTAAATAATCGCACAAAACGAGGCATGATCTTCCAACGCCAATTACACGTTTAAAACACTGTTGTGGACTAAGGTGAACAGTGAAAAATCTCATGCATTCAATTCACAATGCCAGTGATGCTACTTTTAAATTGATTGACTCCACGTGAGACACTAATGAACAGTACACAACTGACGAATTTACTTAATTGAACTATAAAAATAGTTTATTTTCGAATACTGTACTAGTTTTTCGGAATTGGTTCAGAATTGGCCAGTTCTAAAAATGCGTATAGTTTGCGTGTGTTTGCTTTTAGAAAATACTTAGATAAAACTTTCCCAGGTTGCCGATCCAAATGAGATAAGAGCTTATTTATTCAAGAAATACATAGTTATCCACTGCGCACTAAATGTAGATATAGTTCAGTTCATTTTGATTACTCTGGTTCTGTGTTCAAATATTGATGGCAAGAATTTCATGAAAGATAGCACTTTTATTCCAACTAGGATCCTCTTATAACGCACGCTTACGATAAATGCTAGATGTGTAATATTCAACGCCGAACCAGTCGTCTGTAAATGCGTTAATTAAGTAATATTCAAATAAAAGAAATAAACGCGTGATCACACTGTTAAATAAGTTTTAACTAAGACAAATAAATAAATAAGTTTTAAAAATTCCAAACACAATACGCTTCTACAAATGTATTCTACACTTCATGTGTGAAGCTCGAGTGAATAAATTAGTAAACAAGCGAACCGAGAGATGTGAATAAGTAGGTGTTTTCTTACCACCGTCTCCTAGTTCAAAACAGTAAATGATGCAGCGGTATGTGATATAGATCAAACACATGCCACGGTTCACTTGGATTTAATTTATTTATTTATTGCTAAGATGATTGGTCGTCTCACCAGCGCCATCTACACGGGCTTCGGATAGCCTGACGACCGAGAGGGCTGGTGGTCGTGGCGCCTACGACCGTCGGTCCGGTGCTCAGAGGGGGAGGGGGAGGAGGGGACGGAGGTGGGAGAAATGTGCTCCGCACTAAACGCTTTCCATTCTTTCCACCGCTCTTTCCACCATTTGTTTTTTCATAAGTTCTGTCTCATATGAGGTTCGGTATGTTGAGCGACAGGAGGCTTTAGTTAATTCTACTCCGACATACCCCGCCCTCCATCCCTAGTGGAGGGCGGAAGTCGTGCCAAAAAAAAAAAAAGATTGGTCGAGCCCACCTGGTGATGTCAACAAAGATTGTAAGAAAATATCCGTAAAATTGACTATTGTTTCAGATTTGAACTATAATATGACGAGAGGCTGCGAAATGTGTCAACGATGAAGATAGTACAAAATGATCGAGTGCAGCCGGTCACACATCGTACCATGTGAGTCGAAACGAGAATGAGAGGGAAAATCATCGTAACGACCAAGATGCTGTTTTCGTTGCTGTTACACTGCTTCTGTGTTGCTACAACCGCTTCGATCCCTAGTGGAGGTAAGTTGAAAAACACTGTGTTTTATGTCGACTGTACATTTTATGGTCTTATTTTGTTGAATAAATTTGATTATCATTATATTCTCATGAAACAAATTTAGCAAATCTATTTTGAAACTATGAATTGAAGTAATGTACCTTTGTAAGTTCCTTTACCTTTGTAATTAGTTTTGATAGCGCCATATCTGAAAAGCCCACAAAACGCCTTACCCCTGCTTTTCATTTCAAATATTAATTTCATTTTAAATTTTAAAACTGTTCTGAGCTCGACTCTTTGAAAACAGACATCCCTAAATTAAAGGCCTGTCTTAGTGTAAGAACAAGAAACGGGACTTCAAAAATGAGACGTAAAGCTGCTTTAAGCTCAACACAAACTTATATCTTAACGGGTAAAACATTTTATTCGTGTAATTTTCAAGATTTTTCGTATTTCATTTAACTGAACAAATATTCGGAGATGACTTTTGGTTTTTATTTATTTATTGCGTAGACAGGCTTACGAGCTCACAGCCTCTCTGATCTTAACAGGTTGCCGGCGTCAATCAACATCACAACTTGAGACTTGAGATCTATGTATGTCTCAATTGTATAGTAATTAAGAAAATTACAAGTTTAATTAGACATTCCTTCATCGTGGAAGTCATTCGTGACCATGTGTCGAGTACGTTATTCGAGCAATTGGTACTTGCCCACGGGATTTGAAGATCAGCACAGTCGGAGCGCTTTTTTTTTATTGCTTATGTTGGTGTACGAGCTCACAGCCCACCTGGTGTTAAGTGGTTACTGGAGCCGATAGACATTTACAACGTAAATGCGCCACCCACCTTGAGATGATCATCTAAGCTCTCAGTATAGTTACAACGGCTTCCTCACCCTTCAAACCAAAACGCATTACTGCTTCACGGCAGAAATAGGCAGGGTGGTAGTACCTACCCGCGTGGACTCACAAGAGGTCCTACCACCAGGTATAAAACGCTTAACTCGAATACACCATACACGAGTACACTAATAGTTTAGACCATGATGAATTCGTGATAAATGGTTACCAGAACTCTCCGACACCATAACTGAAAATCACTACCTACATCAATTTTTTCTTCAAATTTATATTATTTATTTGATAAATATCAGCAGTGCTAGTAGGACTTTATCCTTAGTACCCTGCAGCACCATTTTCAAAAGAAACAAAACCAATAAAACAAACCAACCAAAACAAAACAAAAACCTAGAATAGTCTCATCTTGTTCAGTCTCAAACCCGCTACCGCCCGCACGAGTCTGTTAGTAATTACAAGTTTACATTATTATTACACGTCTTAAAGTACAAAGAAACGCTCGTCTGCCAATATCAAAAACATACATATTTATGTACATAATATGTATAAATACATATATAAATAATATTACAATATCTGAATAAAGAATATTATAATATTAAAACAGGAGTCGTTTTTATTATTAAAATAACTGTAGATTATATGTATTTACATTGCATGTTATATGTGTCTAAAAGGAAAGAGATTCACAGTTAAGTGAATATTCAATGAACACGTTAAGCTTCTTTGCTCGTGTAAAATGTATTCATTGGAGAGACTTAATTTTTTTAATAATAATTCTGTATTTTATCGAATTTTTATAATGTTTGTATTCTACCAAAAAAAAATGTTTTTCTAATATGAAGTAAAGAATATTGTTCTGTAATGTAAAATGAAATTGATTCAATCATTATATTGTTTTCAATTATTCTGCCAAATAAAAGCCAAAGACTTTTGTTTATATTCATTCTTGGGCAACGGTTTACCTGATGTGAAGTGGTTAAGCTAATAGCCATCACCATATGCATGTCTGAGGCTGATCCAACTTTATGCACGTGCGGATACTTTACGCTCACATGGGTTTTAATATCCCACAAAAGAATTAGTAACAGTCGAACATCGATATATGATCCTCTCACAAAAAAAACTTGAGCAACAAAAAAACACAAAAGAGCAAAAATGTATCCTTCAAGCTTTCATAAACATTATTGCAAGTTTAAACTAAATGCAACACAAGCAAATATTTAAATCGTTCACAAATAGCTTACGCTACGCTGTGGTTGAAGTATGAACTGGGGAAATCGGTAGCACGAGCGTCTCTCGTCGCTTTATGATACAACTTGCACAGCAATATTACGAAGCTGACTTAACACTATTATAATACAGAAGTTTTATGTAAAAAGATTCATAAACAGTTCTTTTAAATTTACAATGTAAAGGAGGATCTTTAGAAACATAAACACTGAAAGATGAGCAAGCTGTTTGGACTGATTGTAGCCAACAACGCTTTTCCTCTATAATCTATACATTCGTATATTTCACACTTCATAATATATTATTATTATGTCATATCAAAGAAATTAACCAATTTGATTCCTCCACATTCAAATACTTTGACTACTTGACCAAGAGGCTTTGTAAGATAGCAGAGTGAGTCGACTACATATTCCAAATTACAGACGGATACAAAATAATGCTTTCCCGCAGAAATAAGCAGTTGTCACAACTAGCTGTCATTTCTTGACACTCGACATCAAACAGCAAAACATGAACCGTCAACTACAAGACGACAGTTTACAGGATGGACAATGACCAAACACTTATAAACTAATGTTTAAACTTATTCATCGTAAGATAAACAGTCACGCTGTACACGCTGTAATGGCATCCGTGGCACCGACACTAAGGCTGCCGTCACATCACGGATATAGTAAAATATAGTTAAACACCAAACTTTAAATAAATAAGTAAAACTTTCCTTAGCATGCTCTTACCTCATAGTGAAAATCCCTTAGTGCGGTTACTGGTTTATACCTACAACATGATACAGTGCCGGGAGCTTTATTAAATTATTCACAAGCTTAAATGAGGCTACACAACTCACCCTTATATTTGTGGTTGTTGCGAGAAGGGCGCGGTTTTACAGGGTTGTTTAGCATTAAATTAAGTGAATGATAGTTTTCTTTTTAATTTTTTATACTGTGCTTTTAACTATCGGTTTGTTGAAAAAGCAATGAGTTTTTTTTGTAATTCTTGTGACCGAGAATCGATTTACTAGTTCGTTGTATTCGTGAATTCAGAGCAAAACCCGTTTTGTTTGTTTTCTCTCACCTAGTGTGAGGGAAACACACCGCACCAGATTATTAGAGTCCATAGACGTAGCAATGTGAATGTCGGAACCCACACCCCCTGAGACAGGTACGAACTCGAAGCCTCAGCTGTACCACCCCTCTAACTAGAACGTATTACTATATAAATAGGCAGAGTGGTGGTTCCTGCTCGCTCATACTGACAACTTTACAGATTTTTACATTTTCAAAGGTTTTACAGAATTTGTTACATCTTGCTCTCTCCTCAATGTAGACTTATCATAAAATTTACATCAGCTCTTGTCCGCAACAATAGCATCTTTTCCAAAATCTTGAACCTTATGTGTCATGTTGGACGATGATAAACATATCGCGTTGTTTATAGGTTACCAAAACCTTGCACACCATGTGAGAATTATGCATGTCTGCTCATTTAGACCAATAGAAGAAATGGGATAAATTATATGCGTTATTAATTTATTTCAATTCGACTAACACAGATTTTATCGTGTCGTATTAATCTAATAATAACTCTCAGTGACGATCACATTTGTTCAAACAATCACGTAGTTTTGAAGTTCCCAAGAAATCTAAATATAATCTTCAAAACATCGTCAAATTTAATCTTAAAACGCAGAGTACAAAATCACTCAGGGTTTTACTCCATTCATTCCGTCCGATTTACGACGAACGAATACGTATGCTCTTTCGGAACCATTCACTTATTCATTCGTACGATTAAGCCTCGGGTACTTTTTGAGGGAAATCCGTGTCGTGTCTAATGTTTAGAAGTAATTTGAGGCCTTTGATCCGAGGAAGTAATTTTTGAGTACGATTTACGAATTTTGCTGACTCACGATACCATGGTTTGATTTGGGCTTTGAAATTTGTTTGTGTGAAAATGTTTCGCGGAATTAATAATAAATAGTGAATGTGTTTTTTTTTTCGAGGTTAGAAGATGTAAATATTATAGTAGTTTTTCCTTGTATTAATTAGAAGGTACGCGTGGAAATTTTTGCTCGAATTGCAACTGCATCCTTTATGCACAGAAAAACGTGCTTGGAAAAGCACAAATTTCTGGAAAAAGCAATCAATTTACAACTTGCCTTACTCATCACTACTTATTTATTAAATATCATCTCGAACGTAATAGAGCTTCACGCAAAAATCACTCTACGGTTCTTGTTCATTTCGAGATCGAATTAATCAAGTAGAAAGGCCACTCGACCTCACAGTCTCATCCGAAAGTCACACACGAGACCTCCGCTAGCGAAATCACGAACACCAACATTCAATAATTAAACCCGGGACCCGACCTTAATCCTCCATCAAACGGTGTTGTAACTCCTAGTTTCAACTTTGTATTCGATACGATTATTATTGAAAAAATTTTAATACGGGAAGCAAAAACTTTGTATCCCTTTTTACGAAAATTGCGCGAACGGAGGAGTATGAAATTTCTCACACTTATAGAGAATATAGAGAAGGAATGCACAATGCTAATATTTTTTTTTAAATAATGCATAAAAGATACATTAAATCAATAAAGAAAACATTACACACACTGCCATGGTTTTGACACACACACACACATATATGTATATATACTCTTTGTTAATTGTCAAACTTTAGTTAATGCTTAAAGTCTGTGGTCAAATTGAAAATGATTAAATATTGTTTGTCTTTGTTAATATTTGTCAATAGTGTAGTTTAGGCGAAATATGTGATTATAGAAGTATAAGAAATAGAATAGTCTTTGACAACAGAACCATAATAATGTTCAAACTTATAATTTAAATTAATTATAGTCGAATTTCGACTACTGCGGGACCACTAGTTATTGAACAAATCCAATAGCTTTTCAAAAATAGTAGAGT